GATCTGCTGGCAATGCTCCTCCTAATGCCCCCAATATGCCATTAGCCTTCTTGGCTACAAGGGCCCCCTGTTGACTCATCTCCAGCTTCTCATCCACTGTAACCCCCAGGTCCTTTTCTGCAGAACTGCAACTTAGCCAGTCGGTCCCCAGCCTGTACCAATGCTTGGCATTCTTCCCTCTTAAGGGCAGGACTCTGCACTTGTCCTTGTTGAACCTCATCAGATTTCTTTTGGCCCAATCCTCTAATCTGCCCAGGTCACTCTGGACCCTGTCCCTGCCCCCCAGCGTATCTACCTCTCCCCCCAGCTTAGTATCATCCGCAGACTTGCTGAGGGTGCAATCCATCCCCTCATTCAGGTCATTAATAAAGATGTTGAACAAAACTGGTCCTAGGACCGATCCTTGGGGCACTCTGCTAGAAACCGACGGCCAACCTGACACCGAGCCGTTCATCACGGCCCATTGGGCCTGACAGTCTAGCCAGCTTTCTATCCACCTTACTGTCCATTTATTTAACCCATATTTACAATCTCAATTGGGCTGAAGAAAGAGAATAAGGAAATGTTATTTAATCCTTCACATAACACAGGAACTAGGGGTCACCCAAAGACATTAAGAAGCAGCAGGTTTTAACAAACCAAAGGGAAGTATTTCTGCCTCAATCTGTGGAACTCCTTGCCCAGGGATGCTCCCCAGCCAGGTTGTGTGTGTGCCTCTCCCTTCTTCCCAGCACACGTCTGCTGCTGATCTCTGCTGGGGAATGCAACATGTACTGTGAGTGTCTCTAGCCTCTGTCAGAGGCTGGGAATGGGCGACAGGGGAGGGATTGCTTGATGATTCCCTGTTCTGTTCACTCCATCTGGAGCACCCTGCACTGGCCCCTGTGGGCAGACAGGACCCTCGGCCGCATGGACCTTTGGTCTGACCCAGCCTGGCCATTTCCATATTTATTATAATTATATGAATTATAAACATACAAAGATTTCGTACAGAAGCTCCCAACATGCTGCCCTCTCAAGACAGCAGTGAGGGGCGATGATAAACTTGGAAACACCTTGGCCTACTAGGACCCGTGCGTTACCTACGTTTCCGTTCCCAGGCACAGTTCTAGCACTCGGGAGCCAAGTCACTAAAACACCGGCCAGCACAGAACCGCTCCTTTACCGGGCCCCTCCCTCCCACTCCGCCGCCCCCCATGTGCTAGTGGCGTCCTTGGCCAGGGGAGACTCAGAGGTGCTTCCACATGAGTTCACCTCCAGGTGTGTGTGGGGAGGGGGGGAGAAAGGCACCTTGCCTGTCCCACCAGCTGCTCCCTGCTTGTTTTGCTCTGATGTGACTGCCCTGGCTGTGGTGTCACCCTTGCTGCTCTCTCCTTGGGGCAGGTAAACGCGCCGGCGGCTGGGAAGGGTTCCGGCTGGGAGCTGTGTAGAAAAGCATGTGCCCGCCAGCGAGCCAAGGACCTGACGGAACAGGCCAGTGCCCTGCTAGCCAAAGATAAGCAGATCGAAGCGTTGCAGCAGGAGTGTCGGGAGCTACACGCGAAGGTCACAGCTGGGAAGGTGAGTGTCACCGGCACCAACGGGCCAAAGCTTGTAAGTAATGTGACTGAGCAATAACTTCCTGGTACAAGTGCTGAAGGAACCGACCGGGGCCATGCGCAGCCTGACCTGCTGCTCACAAACAGGGAGGAACTAGTAGGGGAAGTGGAGGTGGGTGGCAGCCTGGGCATCAGTGATCATGAGATGGTCGATTTCAGGGTCCTGACCAAAGGAAGAAAGGAGAGTAGCAAAATACACACCCTGGACTTCAGAAAAGCAGACTGACTCCCTGAGAGAACTGATGGGCAGAATTCCCTGGGATGCTGACATGAAGGGGACAGGTGTCCAGGAGAACTGGCAGTATTTTAAAGAAGCCTTATTGAAGTCACAGATAGAAACCATCCCGTTGCCAGCAAGAAAAGCAAATATGATAGGAGACCAGATTGGCTTACTAGGGAAATCCTTGGTGAGCTTAAACACTTGACAAGAAGCAGAAACTTGTACAGATGACTAGGAAGGGGCATAAATGTCTAGCTCAAAAATGCAGGGGAGTTCTCAGGCAGGCAAAAGCGCAATTGGAATTGCAGCTGGCAAGGGATGTGAAGGGCAACAAGAAAGGTTTCTACTGGCATGTTAGCAATACGAGGGTGATCAGAGACGGGGTGGGACCCTACTGGATGAGGGAGGTAACCTAGGGTATGTCTAGACTGCATCCCTCTGTCGGCAGAGGGATGCAGATTAGGCAGGTCGACATTGCAAATGAGGCAGGGATTTAAATAGCCCATGCCTAATTTGCATAAAAATGGCTGCCGTGTTTTGCCGACTCAGCACTTTGTTGGAGGGGGATCTGTCGAGAAAGAAAGCCTTTTTCGAGAGATCCTGTAAACCTCCTTGCAGGAGGCATAAGGGATCTGTCGAAAAAGGCTTTCTTTCTTGACAGATCTCCCTCTAGACTGCTGCTTTTTGCCAACAAAGTGCTGAGTCAGCAAAACGCGGCAGCCATTTTAATGCAAATTAGGCGCAGGATATTTAAAACCCTGCCTCATTTGCAATGTCGACCTGCCTAACGTGCATTCTTCTGCCAACAGAGGGATGCAGTCTAGTCATACTTCTAGTGACAGACGATGTGGGAAAACTGAAGTACTCAATGCTTTCTTTACCTCCGTCTTCATAGACAAGGTCAGCGCCCAGACTAATGCACTAGGCAGTGCAGTATGGGAAGTAGGTGAACAGCCCTTGGTGGGGAAAGAACAGGTTAGGAACTATTTATAAAAACTAAACATACACAAATCCATGGGCCTGGATTTAATGCATCCGAGGGTACTGAGGGAGTTGGCAAATGTCATTGTGGAGTCTTTGGCCATTATCTTTGAAAAGTCATGGAGATCGGGAGAGATCCCGGATGACTGGAAAAAGGCAAATGTAGTGCCCAGCTTTAAAAAAGGGAAGGACAATCCAGGGAACTATAGCCCAATTAGCCTTACCTCAGTCCCTGGAAAAATCCTGGAGGGGATCCTCAAGGAATCCATTCTGAAGCACTTGGAAGAGGAGAAAGTGATCAGGAATAGTCAGCATGGAGTCATGAAGGGCAAGTCGTGCCTGACCAATCTGATCAGTTTCTACGATGAGGTAACTGGCTCTGTGGACGTGGGAAAGTCAGAGGATGTGAGATACCTTGACTTTAGCAAGGCTTTTGATACGGTCTCCCTCAATATTTTTGTCAGCAAGTTAAGGGAGTGTGGATTGGATAGATGGACTGTAAAATGGATAGAAAGCTGGCTAGACTGTCGGGCCCAACGGGTAGTGATCAACGGCTTGACATCAGGTTGGCCGTCGGTTTCTAGCAGAGTGCCCCAAGGATCTGTTCTAGGATCGGTTTTGTTCAACATCTTTATTAATGACCTGGATGAGGGATGGATTGCACCCTCAGCAAGTTTGCGGATGACACTAAGCTAGGGGGAGAGGTAGATACACTGGAAGGCAGGGTGTGACGTAGTGGGGGGTACCTTGCTGGTTGTTATGCTGTGCAGTGGGTTGTGAGTGACCTCCACTGGCTGCTGTCTGCAGCACGGCCCAGCAGGGCAGGGGATGAGTCATTATGTAAGGGGGCTTCGAACCTGTCTGACCAGTTATCTCCCAGGGAGCGGAACAATGGGAAGAAGGGGAGTGGAGCCCTGGCTGGGGGCAGGGCTGGAAGTGACGGAGTTAGGTTTCTGGCTGGGATCATGGAAGAAGCAGCCTAGGCAACGGGCTGGGATTTAGGGGCCCAGGCTCCCCCATCTCAAGGGGGGCTGAGGCATCCTAGGCCTGCCCTGGAACCAGATGACATCTGTGCTGTGCTGTATCCTGCAGAAGCAATAAACTCCCTCTATACTACTGGATGGGGGAGTCTGTCCGTGCCACTATGGGGGTGCAGGAGATGGGAAAACCCCAATGTGCCGTCACACGGATAGGGTCCAGAGTGACCTAGACAGATTAGAGGATTGGGCCAAAAGAAATCTGATGAGGTTCAACAAGGACAGGTGCAGAGTCCTGCCCTTGGGAGGGAAGAATCCCAAGCACTGGTACAGGCTGGGGACCGACTGGCTAAGTAGCAGTTCAGCAGAAAAGGCCCTGGGGGTTACAGTGGATGAGAAGCTGGAGATGAGTCAGCAGTGTGTCCTTGTAGCCAAGAGGGCTAATGACATATTAGGGTGCATTAGGAGGAGCATTGCCAGCAGATCTATAGAAGTAATTATTCCCCTTTATTTGGCTCTGGTGAGGCCACATTTGGAGTATTGCATCCAGTTCTGGGCCCCCCACTGTAGAACAGATGTGGACGCATTGGAGAGGGTCCAGCGGAGGGCGACCAAAGTGATGAGGGGGCTGGAGCATATGACTTATGAGGTGAGGCTGAGGGATTTGGCTTTGTTCAGAAGAGAAGAGTGAGGGGGGATTTGATAGCAGCCTTCAACTCCCTGAAGGGAGGTTCCAAAGAGGATGGAGAGAGGCTGTTCTCAGTAGTGACAACAGGTGGCAGAACAAGGAGCAATGGGCTCAAGTTGTGGTGGGAGAGGTCCAGATTGGATATTAGGAAAAACTGTTTCCCGAGGAGGGTGGTGAAGCACTGGGCTGGGTTCCCTAGGGAAGTAGTGGAGTCTCCATCCTTAGAGGTGTTTCAGTCTCGGCTTGACAAAGCCCTGGCCGGGTTGATTTAGTTGGGATTGGTCCTGCCTAGGGCAAGGGGCTGGACTTGACCTTCCGAGGTCTCTTCCAGCTCTATGAGTCTATGAACAGAAAATGAGGCTCCAGTAGTTGGCATGAGACAGGTTAAGCCCACCTGACATCTGAAACCAGGTGGTCCGTCTGAGACAATGTTCCCACTAATCTTTTCCATCCACATGTGGACTGTTTCCATCCATGTGCGGAATAATTTGTATGTGCACCATGGCTTGTGCAAATGTGCACCACCTGGAGAAACACAAACCTAGCTGTTGGTGCTGTGCTAATCAGCTGGGTGGCAGTGAAACATCTCCTGAGTGGCTGCCCCAGAGCCCACGGGACAAGGGGACTCTGGGTATGTCTACCCTACAGCCGTTTTTCTGGCAAGACCTGTGTTGCGTCCACACTGCAATCACGTTCTTCCGCAAGGAAATGGAAAGAGCAGGGGTTTCCAGCACTGGCAACCCTCGTCCTACGGGGGAGAAGCCTTTTCCCGAAAGCTTTCAGAACACGGCACGTGTGGACGGGGAGGAGGGGTTTCGAAAGAAGAGGCTCTAGGGAAAAACACAGGTGCCCTGGTGGACACTCCGTGAGCAGCACCTCACCACACGGCTCTCCCTGCCACAGGCCTTGCCAGCCATGGCCGAACGTCAAGCCCCCCATGGCCCCTGTGGCCCTTGCAGGGAACAGCACCAGGGGTCCCAGGACCCACCCAGGGGAACCAAGAGGAGCACACCCGCCTGGTCCGGAGCGGAGACCCTGCCCCTCCCCGAGCTGTGGGCGAGGACACTTGCAGGATCTGCACTCCAAGTGGTGAAATGCTGACACCTTCGAGCGTGCGGCTGAGTCCCTGGGGGGTGCCCGCCCGCCCCAGACCTTGGAACAGGGTCTCTGTCAGGGATACGTCCGGGCCAGAGAGCGCAGCTCGCTCTGAGGGGCAGCGCCCCACACCTGCGCCTATTACCAGGAGCTGCACCAGCTCCATTTTTGTGCCTCAAGACCGCTGTCATCACCCGGCTCAAAGGAGGAAAGGGAGGAGAAGGACCAGGGTCAGTAGTAGAAGACGGACACTGTCACCCTGTCCCTGTTGCCTGTCAGCCAGGACATCTTCCAGGCCTCATCTGACGCTGGGGAGGGATCTTCAGGTGAGCGGTCACACTCGGGGCAGGGGAGGTGGCCACATGGGCTGGGGGCGAGTGTCGTTCGGGCTGCTCGGGCCGGACATCGTGCTGCGGTCTGTGCAGGTGCAACCACGTGCAGCGTGAGTGTGCGGCACGTGGACACAGCAGGCAGCCCCTGAGCACGGGTGGGATCCTGCTGCCAGGCCCAGGGGAGGCCACACAAGTCCTGCCATGGGGCCCAGAGGTTTGCCACACATACCATGTGGGCATGCCTGCCCATGCGACTGGAAGCAGGCTTGGCACAAGGGCACAGGGACGACCCCACAGAGACCGAGGAGTTCCACACACAGCACATGGGCATGCCTGCACGTGCAAGGCAGCAGCTGCTCCCACAGATAGCACTGTGAGCTGCACCTCTGTGTGTGGACCTCAGGGAGGGCCAGGCTCCTCTGCTACCCATGAGGGATTCCCACTGTGGCCAGACACTTCCCTTGCCTGCCTGTCTGTGGTTTGGAGAGGGGGCAAAGTGGGCAGCATGGTCCTCTGCGCATATCAGGGCCCCTGTGAGGCTGGGCCTGTTGTGACGGCCACATATGACCTTGATCGCCGGACATCCCCCTCCTCTGGACTGTTGGTCACTGCTCACAGAGGAGGGCATGACCTCCGGGACATTGTCTGCAGAGATGACTGACTGCCTCT